GGTCAGGCTCCTTCATCTGCTACTGAACCAGAAATATTCATGTCTACAACAACATCTACTTTGACCCAAACCTCATTGACGTCAACTGAACCAACATCTGTGAAACAGGATACACTTGATTTTTCAACTACTGTAGTTTCTACTACTGGTCAACTGAGTCAGTCTGCCACCAATACAGCTGACCATACCACGGATACAAGTTCAGCACCAGCATCACCTACCAGAGGTCAGGCTCCTTCATCTGCTACTGAACCAGAAATATTCATGTCTACAACAACATCTACTTTGACCCAAACTTTATTCACATCAACTGAACCAACATCTGTGAAACAGGATACACTTGATTTTTCAACTACTGTAGTTTCTACGACTGGTCAACTGAGTCAGTCTGCCACCACTACAGCTGACCATACCACGGATACAAGTTCAGCACCAGCATCACCTACCAGAGGTCAGGCTCCTTCATCTGCTACTGAACCAGAAATATTCATGTCTACAACAACATCTACTTTGACCCAGGCCTCATTCCTGTCAACAAAGACAATGCCTGTGAGACAGGATACACTTGATTTTTCAACTACTGTAGTTGCAACCTCTGGTCAACCAAGTCACTCTGCCACAGCTACAGCTGACCATACCACCGATACAAGTTCAGCGCCAGCATCACCTACCAGAAGTCAGGCTCCCTCATCTACTACTGAACCAGAAAGATTTTCTGTCCCTGGGTCTTCCACTGAATCTGTACAAAGTGCCATGTTGATGTCCACAACTGATAATACTTCACAGACAGGATCTTCATCAGAAACTTCACCTGATGTATCTGTAACAGAAGAACAGGTCACTTCACCCAGAACTGAGACAACAACTGTGTCTCCAACTATACCAAGAGCCCACTCAAATGTGACCGCAGTTCTGCCTGAATCCCCAATCGCTGCAGCCTCTACAGCCACAACTGCAGCACCAACACCAATAAAAGCTTCTACTGCTGCCATTTGGTCATCTACTCCAGCTACCACAACCATGGCGGTGCCGGCTAGTGAAGGAGAAGGAGTGATTATTTTAATACTTCGAATCCAGCAAATCTTCATTCCCGCTTACAGTGATCCTTCCTCAATCGAGTACAATACTCTGGTCAGCAATATCACTGCTGAGGTAATAAAGTAATGACAATTGTTTTAAATAATGATTTTTTGTGATTCTCCCTGATTGCATAATATGATCTGATGCAATATGATCTTTGCATTAATTTATCAAATGATCATTTCTGGAGAAACTCTGATATAATGACTTTTGGTACCAGTAAAATTTTGAAAAATGGACAGGAAGACTTGGCTGATGTTGAAGTATCAGCAGTCTCTGATGTTGAATGTTTGTATTTTAACTACGTTTCTTTTCATGTGTAGCTGAGCCGAAGCTTTAGAGAGCTGTTTCCCCTCACATTTCTCCGATGCTATGTCATAAGTCTCTGGTACAGTATTTTCAGCATTAATCACATCACCGTATAAATATCAATCGCTAAGACTCACCAGAGAGCAATTAGCGTAATGTTCTATTTTTTTTTTTTTACTGTAAAATACACACACACACACACACACACACACACACACATTTTCTAAACGGCTTATCTTACTGGGTTATGGGGGGAGTTAGGGTTAGGGACCCAAAGAGTATTTTCACAGCACCTATCCAGATGTTATTTACTGCCCTGAGACATATACTGTTGCAAGCTAACAAGAGATTTACTTAAGTTCATTAAAAAAAATAATGATAAATAAAAAATTCTTTTAAATTAATTTTAAATTAATTTCTTATTAAAATGCCCAGCTGGTGTTTTATTGTTATATATTCTAATGTGAAATCTTTCTTGTATATGGAATAATCATCATTCACTTATATTTGGACTCAGGGGAGTAAGGGCAAACTCTTTAACATATTATTCAGCATTTAGAGCCAATGCAAACTTTGTATGATGCGCTGAAGAATAAAGAGTTTGATTTGTTTTCTTAGCAATGTGAAAATTGCACTACACTGTAAATAGTGTTTTTGAAATAGATGGTGATACTATAATCTGCTAATAAATGATGGCTAAATCTACTTTTCCTCCATTTGCAGGAATGGTTCGGTGGGTGTGGACACTCAGGTAATCTTTAAAAATGAAACAGTTCTTCCAAATGTAACAGTCCTGACTGATTCACTGAAATCAGCAATAAATGATTCTACAGTTTTCCTGGATATCATTCCATCGAGTATCACTGCTGGTGAGTGTTAAACACTGTATTTTATAACTAAACATAAGCTTTCAGTGCATTTGGAGAATATTCTTTCATAGTTAATATAGTATCTTATTGTAAAGATCAATGTTTTTGAGTTTTGGATAAATAAAATTCTGATGTTATAAAACACTGAACAATTAGATCATCACAGCTTAAATGACACCATGTTGCTATGCAGAAAAGTGTGGTTGCTCTTAATCTGCACATCTTGGGAATATGAAGAGAAAATCTGAGCATAGTAGACTAGGCTATACTATATATTTATATATTTAAGCTGGCAGTGACTTTAAGGTGGCAGTAAATTTAAGGTTGCAATGAATTTACGGTAGCATGGAATTAAAGGTGTTAGAAAATTTAAGGTGGCAATGTATTAAGAAATCAGTAAATGTAAGCTAGAAGTGAATTTAAGGTGGCAGTGAAGTTAAGGTGCATTAAATTTAAGTTGGCAATGTATTTAAGATATCAGGAAATTTAAGATGGCAGATAGTAGTTCAAAGTAACAGCTAGCAACACATTACCATCCAACTTGGATACCGTAGCAACCGCCTAGCAAAATTTCAGCAGCACTTTAGCAACCATCAACAGACAATTGCCTTTATAAGCAACATAATCAAATCAACAGAATGTTTTACTGTTATCATAATATTGTACGTTTAAAGGTACCAAAGGGGTTCTATTTGGACTCATGCGATTATTTAATTGCATATTAGTACATAATTCTAAATTTAGTTGCGACGCTTACCATACAGTTTTACCTTAGTCACTTTCAAATATGCTTCTAGATTATATGCACATCTGATATGTGACCATGCATCAGTAATGAAAACAGTCATATCAGAAAAATTAATTTTATTTGATTTATTTTAACTCCTATATCTACTGAAACTTCGGAAGAAATATCAACACCTACTCCTGTAAGTTTACCAGACACTTCAACCACAGTTAGGCAAGTAACATCAACAGAAATGAAAACAACAGCTGTGACTGCATCAGAGTTTTTGACCAGAGATGACTCTCTAACTACAATGGAACCAGTAACTCCAACACAGATACTTCATGAACAAACGTCTACTACAGCAGGGCAACTGCCCACTTCTACAACAACATCTACTTTGACCCAAACCTCATTGACGTCAACTGAACCAACATCTGTGAAACAGGATACACTTGATTTTTCAACTACTGTAGTTTCTACTACTGGTCAACTGAGTCAGTCTGCCACCACTACAGCTGACCATACCACGGATACAAGTTCAGCACCAGCATCACCTACCAGAGGTCAGGCTCCTTCATCTGCTACTGAACCAGAAATATTCATGCCTACAACAACATCTACTTTGACCCAAACCTCATTCACGTCAACTGAACCAACATCTGTGAAACAGGATACACTTGATTTTTCAACTACTGTAGTTTCTACTACTGGTCAACTGAGTCAGTCTGCCACCAATACAGCTGACCATACCACGGATACAAGTTCAGCACCAGCATCACCTACCAGAGGTCAGGCTCCTTCATCTGCTACTGAACCAGAAATATTCATGTCTACAACAACATCTACTTTGACCCAAACCTTATTCACATCAACTGAACCAACATCTGTGAAACAGGATACACTTGATTTTTCAACTACTGTAGTTTCTACGACTGGTCAACTGAGTCAGTCTGCCACCACTACAGCTGACCATACCACGGATACAAGTTCAGCACCAGCATCACCTACCAGAGGTCAGGCTCCTTCATCTGCTACTGAACCAGAAATATTCATGTCTACAACAACATCTACTTTGACCCAAACCTTATTCACATCAACTGAACCAACATCTGTGAAACAGGATACACTTGATTTTTCAACTACTGTAGTTTCTACGACTGGTCAACTGAGTCAGTCTGCCACCACTACAGCTGACCATACCACGGATACAAGTTCAGCACCAGCATCACCTACCAGAGGTCAGGCTCCTTCATCTGCTACTGAACCAGAAATATTCATGTCTACAACAACATCTACTTTGACCCAAACTTTCATTCACATCAACTGAACCAACATCTGTGAAACAGGATACACTTGATTTTTCAACTACTGTAGTTTCTACTACTGGTCAACTGAGTCAGTCTGCCACCACTACAGCTGACCATACCACGGATACAAGTTCAGCACCAGCATCACCTACCAGA